CACACTTGCTGCCACCTCCTCTCCCACACTTTCGAAACTACCTAAAAGATTATTTGATTCAGATGTACTTAAACATGACATAGCGTTACATTTTTCACACAATAGCAATTCTCTCAACTGACATTTGGTGTCATCTACGTTGCTCTCTTGTTCTTTATCTCTCTGATTGGAGAAGACACATTAGCCGACTCTCCCAATCACCAACAATATATTGACTAGACGAAGTTTCTGAATGATCTTCAGATCGATTTCGCGCATAAAATGTATACGCACATAACGCAGAAATACTGAATCAATAATCTCCATTAATCTTCCACTGTTTACTTTCCCGTATACGTACGTACATACGGAGTAATATACATAGTATAGGGAAAATTTTGTATTGCTGCGGAAAATCGATTTCGAGCTTTCGACGAAAATATTCGTTTTGGGGTCCCCTGATACCAAAAAAGTGATTTTTTCAAAATGTCCATCTGTCTGTCTGTCTGTCCGTCTGTCCGTTCGTTCGTCCATCTGGTGCCTGTGAACACTACTAGCGCCTAACCCATGCGTAGTAATTTTTCGAAATTGAAGAACCTGGTGTCGATTACATGAAGTCCACCGGACATTTTCAAAATTTACTCAAAAACGGCTCAAAATTTTCTGAAAAAAATGGTCTTTGGGCGGCGATAGTTGGCAACAGGTAAGAATATGTGGCAAGTTTGAATAGCTAACCGAGACCAAAGGAAATAGAAAAGTAACTCGGGAAAGTCTGTGCCATTCTGTAGCACCACTAGTTTGTTCCTGTATACATACGTATATACGGAGTAATATGTAATGCTGCGGAAAATCGATTTCGAGATTTAAACGGAAATACACGTTTTGGGAATCTCCTGATCCCAATAAAGTGCTTTTATTTCAAAACATCCGTCCACTCATCCGTCTCTCCGTCTTTCTAGTGTATGTGAACAACACTAGCGCCTAAACTATTGCGATTTTTACCAAAGTGAATAAACATCTGTCTATCTGGCCTGAGTCGAAACTCTGCGATTTTGAAAAACATTCAATATTTTTTGGGTACTTTACATGAAATCCCCCGGATATAATAAAAATCTTATCAAAAACGACTTTAATTCTTTTCTTTAAATTTCTTGAAAGAATAGAGTAAAATACACTTATAAATGTAGCGTAGATCCTATTTTCAGGGTTAACTCAAAATTTTCGAAAATGTTGACATTTTAAATCTTTTGCACGCAATTCTACAACTACAAAATTGATGATAGAAAATGTTCCTTCAAATCAAATTTGTTTTCTATAGTGAGTTCTTTCATTATGTGCACATTTTTTGAAACTTTTGGTAGTTTTCGCGCAATATTGCGTACAATATGTGCATTTTAAAAAATAGCATATATTGCATGCATAATGTATAATTTTAAAAAGTTTCAAAAACAAGATTTTTCTTCAAAAACGTCTCCAAATTTTTTCATTAAACTTCTGGTAAGGATAGTGCTAACTGTACTCTATGAGATGACATTACCATCACTTTGCTCTATTTTTTGATTTTGCAATAATTACAAAAAGTTAATTTGTGTGATTTGACTCTCGCGTCTTTAATATTTACATTATCGGCGATTTGTTTACATTATTATATTTATCAGTAAATGTGCTTTAAATAAAATCATGTAAAGTTTTTCGAGACCAACCGTTTCTGAGAAAAGTAACCTAACGTAACCTAACGTAACCTAGCATATTCTAACGTAAAGGCAATTTTATTCTTCCTTCAAACTTTTGGAACGCATAGTGCTAATTAAACACTTTAATATGACAAAAGTTCATTTTAACGTTGTTTTTTTTTCCTTTTTCAAAAATTCAACAAAAATATTTTTTTCGAAGTATCTTGCACGCCGTTAACATGCACACTTCTAGCAAACACTATCTTATTTGCGAGTTAATGTGCTTCAAATTACTTCTAATGATGTTTTTCGATACCTCAAATATTTACTTCAAAAAGTACTTCAAATTTGGAATTTACAGTCGAGCTTAAACGCCATTTTATTAAGAGCAACTCCTAACTTTTCAAAGAAAATTGCCGTTTGCGAGGTTTTAAGTTCTACTATTAGGAACCATAAAATAAACAAATTTTCAAAAAAGGACTTTGGACGACTATATTTGTGGCAGCTGGCAAGAATATGTGGCAAATTGGTATAGCCGAGATCAAATTGGCTAGCCGAGACCAAAGGAAATAGAAAACTAATACGGGAAGGTCTGTGCCCTTCTGTAGCACCACTAGTTTACAAATCGCTGCATATGACCGCTTAAAATTGGGCAATACAAGAAACGTGCATCACCGCTGTCCGCGGAGAGACGTTAACCACTTAAAGAGCGAAAATTTGCACTGACCTCATGAAAAAATGAATCTTCTGCTTGAAAAAAAGACAGTTAATGGATGTGACCACTTAATCGAGGAGGCTCGATTTTACTTTACTCAGAGCATATTTTACTGCACTCAGAGTAAAATACGGAATCTGTGGCCGCGATGTGACACTTTTCTTTGGTGTCGACAATATGTACTGATTTGTTCCAACGTTTTTGGGTATAAATGTTCAAATTCTAAACGAAACAACGGTAAGATATCTTACTAAAAGGCCATATACACACCAAGACGAATTAAACCAGTAATAAGTGAAGGTGAAGACCTACAAAGTTTTAAGCGACGTTTTATTTAATTTTTTTCAGTGCATCTACTCCGTCAACAGAAAAAATCTCAATGAATTGCTGTTGACAGGTAGGTAAAATCATTTGTTTTCATTAGTACTCGTACACATTTCTATATATATATATATATATATATATATATATATATACATATATATACATATATATATATATATATATATATTGTAAGTTCACAGCCTATTAAAAATATTATGTTAATAAATATCAGTACAGAAAATATCTCTATTCAGAATATGGTAAAAAATTCAAATGTTCAAGTAAGGAAAAGAATTATGTAAGAATCAAGAAAGAATTACGTGTTCCTTGGCTCATAACTGCTGTATAACTCACGTGAAATATTTTGGTTTAGCGGCTGAAGAATTACCTAACGTGCGACTGCACTTTAATCATAAACTCGTATCTGCTGACCTCGATTCTGGACGACTTACCTTTCAAACGTAAGTAGAAAATTCTTTCTATCTCTTGCAAGATGTCTTAAGATTTAGTCATTTCTATAGTTTAAAAACCACAGAACATACTCTATATATCCATTCTATAGATCTTTTCAACCGTAAAGAAGTGAAAGCAAGTAGCTCCCTAACTCGAGCTAACAACTTTAAAAATCCAACAGAGCCTCCATTATTAGACTATATCATTCTATACAAAAGTTGCCGAGGCACAAACATTAACTTCTACCAGAAATGACGTACCTTCAAAATTCTCCATCATTAAAACATTGAGCCTTCTTGAACAGTATTATATTTAAATTTTCACTCATGTCTCAACTGTTCTCTCATCTATCACAACATAATTGATTATATTTTTGATATTTACGTGTTCGCAAAGTTTATAATTTTATCTTACTATTCACAAAACTGCTTTCATTAATATACAACTCTAACCAGCATTTTTATCCAGTTCAGCAGTTGATCTTTATAGCGAAGACTTTTATCATTTATTTTATTTATTATTATTCGATATTTGGAATAAAATTGAACTTTTTGTATCTATTGTGTATTTTTCCGATGATACGATTATGCAGAGCGAATTTACCAGTAAGCTAAATAAGCTACATCGTTGAGTCTCGAGAGTTCGGGAATCCTAAAAAAAACTAAGATAGTACATAGATGTACTGAATTTCTTGCACACTAACAGCGTTGACTCGAATTTCTAACGAATAAAGTTTATTTGAAAGTTGTAATCCCATTGATTATACATTAGAGTAGATATGTTTGTATTTTGTGCATTAAAAAACTGAATTTCAAAATTTTCAAAACTTCAAGAAAATCTCTCCGAATTTTTTCTTTTAATTTTCTCTAAGAGTATAGTTAAATACACTTAAAATAAGTGGCGTAGGTATGGTTTTTTACGGTTAACTCTGAACTTACGAAAAGTTTGAATTTTTTTCGACGTCTTTCTACATCTACAAAATAAAAGAGAGATATTTCCTTAAAATAAAATTTGTTGTTCATAATTTGTTCTTTCATTAAGGTCCTGTACATTTTTTGAAAAAAAATAGTCATTTTGCGTGTAATTTGCGTGCAGTTTGTGCAATTTGTGCAATTTTAAAAAATTACAAAAAAAAGGTTTTCTCAAAAACGGCTCCAAATTTGTTCTATAAACTTTTGGTAGGAATTGTGCTAAATGCATTCTATGTGACAACATAAACGCAATGTTCCTCTATTCTTTTGTTTTTTCAAAAATTACAGGTCTCTCACATCGTTAATATTTACATTAGCGGCAATTTGTTCATACTGATATATTTATGAAAACAGGTGCTTTAAATAATAGCACATAAAGTTTGTCGAAAACAACCATTTTCTGTCGAAACTAGCTTAAATTTTTGGAATTTCAGAAACGCACAACGCTTTTTTCTAAAAACGGCTCCAACTTTTTTCTTCAAACTTTTCGAAAGAGTAGTGCTACTAGCATTCTTTAATATGAGGTAAAGTTTATTTCGGAGTATTTTCTGTTCTTTCAAAAATTACATAAATGGTCATTTTGTAACACCACTAATTTTCTTTGAACTTTTGTCCGAATAGAATTATGTGCGCTTATAAAATCGACGTAGGCCGGATTTTCATCAAAATCTCAAAATTTTCGAAAATTTCAAAAGTTTAAAATTGTTTACTCTTCTTAAAACAACATTATTGTAGCTAGAAATGTATTTTTAATGTATTATATTCTACAATATTAGGTCTTCAAATTAAACAAGTTGATTTTTTTCAAATCTTAGTATTTTTGGGTAATTTTGGGGATACTTTATATCGTAGAAATTTTGGCTCTGAGATGTTACAATCACTAGAATATTATTTTAACAACAATAACACGAACAAACCGTATTGAATAGGGGTAAGAGTTTTTTCTTAAACCTAAGGTCTCGAGTTCAGATAAGAGTCCGACTCGCTCTTTTTTCTTTAACCTTTTTATAAGAAAATATCACAAACGGTTAATTAAATGACAGAAAGCCGTTTTCACTTAAACTTTTTAGTTTTGAAACAAAAGTTTTTTACGTAGCTTAATTTAGTTGTCTTCGTGCTTAGTTTGTTGAAAAGTTTTTAATACATTAGCTTAAGTGTTAGTACAATGAAAGTTGCAATCTTAGTACTTTATTATGAAACCCCAATCAAAAATAAGAAAAGTGTGTGCTGTTAAAGTATCACTAGTTATAATGTAACTTAACTTAAAGGTTTCAATAGTAAACCTAAGTAATTTGACAGTACTTTTTTGTCAATGAATCATTATCTTACTAAAGAGGTTGAGAAGTGGCTATCCATTGTATGCATTAGAAGGTCACTATTAATTTTTATATTCATGACTATTTGCCTTTAAGATTCCCTTGTTTGCAAATTCACCAAGTAGACAAGCTTTTTCTAAACGTCAAATGACCACCTTCTTCGATTTTGAAATAAAATTAAGCCGTGAACACGAACAGATGAGAACACGATGTTCCACCCTCTAACACAAAAACACTGCACCACCTATCTTGGTTAGTACGCACCGACATTATTATGATGTCATCTACAAATACTTCCACACCGGGCAAGGATCTTATTCATATCACCAATACACGCCAGCGCTGGCTGACAATCAGTAAAGTGTGATGCACATTGGTGCACGTTGCACCAATCTCGCCAGAATTTTCAAAGAAACCTACATATGGTGCCATATTCCTATACAATCTACATATGCTACATTTGCAGCAACAATGGTGTAACTCGCACCAATTTGTTGACTCATTAAAAATTTCATTTATGCGTTGGAAGTGCACCGGTAGAAAGTAAATACAACTGCCCTCTCGCTTACCACTTGTAAGACACGGTTATCCCCCGTTTTACCACTAACAAGAGCTTTTTTTGTTACGTCCTGTTTCGCTCACATTTGTCAGATAAGTCATGTCTGTGACTCACGGGAGTTCATGATACGTGTGTTCGTTCAACAGCTTTACCGATTTTCAAGATGGATTCAACGGTATGCAACACTCAAAACGATCGAAATTTTCTGGTTATATATCAAACACAATTCAGATACAAGAAATTTATATTAGCTAAAATGACCCACGTATCCAAAAACACATTACAAAAATTAAAATTGGACTTATAATAAATATGAGAAACGGAAACATTTTCAGGCTAAATACCCATAATAGTGAATAATTTGCAAACCTATGATGATTTTTAAGAAAACGTAAAATATGCATCATAAAAGTACAAATAAATTATTGAAAACGTGTGATTCTTGTACTATTAAATGAGCATACTTTTTGGCTGCAAGGAGAATATTTGCTCTGCGTCGAAATTCGGTCGGTACAAATAATTTAATAGTGTCAAATTTTGATTTATATCATTATAACAAATGACCTAAATTATATTTTACTTATTAAAAACCAAGGACGACCAGAAGGGGGAGGGGTGAAGAAAGAAAGGCAACTAGCCCAAGACTCCAACTTAATTAAAGCCCCGACTTTTTTCCATTCAAAAAATTAAAAATGTATTTATCTCTAATCCAAATTGAACGCTACAAGTTGTTTCTGATGCATGGAGAAATGAATTCTGTTTGTCAATTAGAGGAGGTGGGCATGTTTTGTTTGAAATGAGGGGCTCCCGCGAAATAACTGCCCCCAAATCTATGTTATCTCTGGGCGCCCCGGTTAGAAACACAACCGTTTTCTGGAACGGCCCCGTCCCCTGTGCCGTAGGCCGCTGTGCCCCGAGGGGGTGAGCCACTCGGCGGCGCTCGTGGTCGGGGCGGACGGCGCCCACTCGCGCGTGCGCGCCGCCATGCTGCGAAGACCCGGCTTCGACTTCCGGCAGAGCAACATCGAGCACGCCTACCTCGAGCTGCGCATCCCGCCCAACCCCGACGGATCGGTGAGTACGAGACACTCCAAGGTTCACGAGAAAGAATCGGCTCATAAACGAGAAAACCAAATGGCGTCTCCGAAGTTCATTTTTAAGGCATGTGGCACACGAGCGTTGTGCTGACGCCCGTTAAGCAACGTGGGTAGTAGATTAACATTGCATCTTATGCGGAAGAGCCAAAGAGCTTGTGTGCCGTTTCGCAATATACGGTGTTATTTTAAAACGCACGTCAACCCAACGCTTGTGTGCGGGGGCCCAACTTAAACTAATACTAAGCTAATACGTTTTCTACTACTGTACAGTTTTATCAACTTCATGCAACTAAAGGCCTTTCTCCCTTATCGTAAAGTACGAAGGAATCGATTCATTTCCGCAAGAACTTCGTGAACTACAGCAAGCACCCGCGAGCCATATGTGCCGTACATACAACCTCCAACCTAAGGCGTGTTGACGCTTCGCCAGGGACGCATGTTCAATTTTCTGACAAGACGCCAGCCTTCGACCAATGGGACTACCTTAAAACATCATTGAGTATTTCTAATGTATTATTTTTCAATGTATTTTTATCCGAAGACTTCTAAGTCTCATTTGACGCTTAGCTACGGATGTCGAAGTTCATATCGAAGGCCCCGGCCTTGAGCCTACGTACGCAATTAACGTAATACATTCTTGAGCCTGTCCAACAAAATTTCCAAAACATTTTTCGTCAAAATATATATGTAATTAATTTAAACGCACAATTCTCATTAGAGCTCCTCGTCATAACTCACCGATCTCACAACGTTGGATTCTATAGGATAAGGAATAACACCATAACACCTCAACCGTAGCCACTTTTAAAGACCAGCGACAGTCAAGTATTTACACTGTTCACAGTCCGTTAAAAACAATAGAATCAGAATGAATTGCAACTAAAGTCTGCGTATGAGTATACTTATTACAAGAAAAGATATTTCTTGTTCATATTATTTTTTACTTTTTTCTTATAAGACGATGATATCATAAAAAAGAACTGAACGACACACGGCCGATAACGCCAATTAATAAGTTCAATTGGTTATAAACCTCAGCTGTCACGTCGGTTGGCAAACTTCAAACATGTCTATTATTTTTTGTTTATCGACCCAGGGGTGGTTTAAGAGACAAATTTTGGGAGGGGAAATTCGAAATGTTTTGGTCCAATGTGTCATATTATAGATCTTATAATAGTCAGTACTAAGTTCATGCTGCGATACGATTTATTCGTTTTAATGATTATCCGAAAATAGTTTTTCTTGAAAGTTACGTGACAAGTTGAAATTAATAGTTACTGAAAAATTTTCAGGGGGAAAGAATTTCTCTCGTTTTCCTCCCCGTGGTTCTGCGCCTAATCGGCCTAGCGGTGTTAGTAACTTGCGGCCCAGGTGACACTTTCTACGTACATGCTCGTTAGCGTCGTGACTGTAACCTTCGGCCTCCACAATTAACTTATAACAACCTTGAATCTGTGCAGCGCATTAGTTCCGAAGTGTTTTGTGCCACAACTCTTTGTTCCCCAATCTTGCGGTACTCTTCAAGGTCCGCGGCAAATTGCTTTAGTTCTCCGTTCTTGCAGTACAAGGATTAAATTCATTCAGAGGAAAAATTACGAAATCACACTTGAGCTCCCCGTTCTTAAAAAAAAGATTTTCCTAAACGATATTATGAGTTTTCCTGGAAAATACCGAAATGGAAGACTGGAGCGTACCACTGGCGTACTACAAATTTGGAACTTGCAAACAAGGTCAAATACCACACTGCTTCTCGAACCTTCTGCATAAAGCCCTGAGCTAGCACAAATTTGCAGAGGGGGTATTGAAGGCAACGTTCAGTGAAGATTAGAGACGTCGCATTTCGCAATACTCGAAATACTGGTTTTGCGTAAGGCTTTGACCTGCTTATGGGTAAATGATCTTCAGGAGAAATGAGTTATTGGCTCACCAGCCACTCCGTAAGCGGACAACGGTAAACAAAAGAATGGAGAAATTGTTTGAGAGAGTTTTTCCTTCCCTTCCCGCCACATCAATATATCCCTGATGTAGTTTTCATTTCATTTTCGTTGTTACATATTCATATTATTAAGTATCAAAATCGAATCATTTTGTGAACTGACATACTACATTGGCATTAAGTCTTAAAAGTACATCTGCAATTCTTCGTTCATCAGATATTTCAACTAACTTTCAATGTAGGTTTAGAACTCGCCATGAAAATTATCATAGGTAATACCACAAATGTTTTGGAAATTGTCGATAAATCCCCGACACGCGAAGCGAGGAGGGGATTTATCTGATAATTCCCCAACGATGACTGGTATTTAAAATACGACTATTGCACGAGTGAAATTATGTCCAACAGGGTACCAAAATGCGCCAAATATTGAAAATAACTGAAAGCGTATGTTAAAATCAGATGTTATGTTATAGCACATATGCTATTTATTGGACATCGATATATGCCGCCTCCTAAAACAGATGAGTCACAGTTTATGATTGGCCAGTAGGTAGAAGTGGTAAAAAAATCGGATAGAAAAAGCAATAAACGTTTTGAGATACACCGCCCTGGTTAGGGCATTTGTAGTGTAGTTAAACACTATTGGCTTTAATTTCACGAGTGGAATAGTCAAAATAACCAAATTTTTATTCATTAACATTTATTTGAAGAACATCAGTAATTATAGAATATGTAATCTCTCCATGCATTTAGATTATTTATAACCTACGTTACCGAAAGCATCTGATCACGAAGCTCAAAATAATATAACTTTCAGAAAGATGCATTCAAACTAAAGACTCTTCTGTCGCTCAAAATATCTGTGAAAGATACACAGCCTAAGAGCTAGATATTTCAAAATAATACCACCTCTCCAACAATCTGTGTTTGCCTTTGAGGTTATCTTCTCAGTTTACAAAAGTGTCACTCTATTGGACACGTTCTATTTCCAAATCATCCATAAATAACAAATATGTCGATTATCTTTAAGAACGGCCTTTCCACGAAACGTATTAGATACTCAAAATAGCATCATAGATCTCGCGGAACAATTTTCTAATAAGGTGAACAGGAATATTATACCGTATGTGGCACCGCATGTCCATTTGGCTTAGACGCAGTGTCAACAATTTGTTCAATCTTCTGACAATGTCGGGTTTAAATTCAATGTACAGTTAACTAACAAAAAATTTGATATATCCTCACGTACTTTATGCGTGTATTGGTTTATCGCAACTATACTTAGAACGCATGTAGAAAAATCTCGAGTAGTACCCTTTTAAAATAGAAACGTTTCCTCATGCTGGTGGGCCGCTTAATCTACAGCCAGGCAGCCTTGTTCAGGGCCTTTCAACGCCCATAAAACGCGGCGGAGACCATTAGAGAGGCGCGCTCTCCTGTGGCCTTGCTTGTGACGGCTCGTACCTGTCGTGCGCAGTCGGCGCTGGAGCCCGTGGACTTCCTGCACGTGTGGCCGCGGGGCAGCTTCATGCTGATGGCGCTGCCCAACGGCGACGCCTCGTGGACGGTGACGCTGTTCGCGCCCGACGACCGGCTGCGGCGCCTGTGCGCGGAGCCCGTGCTGGCCGTGCGCCTCTTCCAGACGCACCTCGACGACGCCCTCCACCTCATCGGCGCGCCCGCCCTCGAGCGCGACTTCGCCGCCGGCCGGCCCTCGCTGCTGCTCGGCGTCAAGGTGCGCACAGCCCCCTCTCCGCCACGCCCTCCGCCCGCCTCCCCTCCGCTCCGCCACGCCACGCCCGGCCCGCCCCGCCCCGCCCCGCCCCGCCCCGGCCACGCCACGCCACGCCCCGCCCGCCACCACGCTCCGCCACGCCCCTCCCCCCACCCTTCCCCGCCACGCCCCACCACATTCCCGCCCCGCCACGCCGGCCACGCCCACCACATCCCGCCCCCGCCACGCCACGCCCCGCCACGCCGCCCGCCCCGCCCCGCCCGCCCCTGCCACCGCCCACGCCCGCACCCACGCCACCGCCGAGCCCCGCCTCACGCCCCGCCAGCCCCGCCACGCCCCGCCACGCCCCGCCACGCCCCGAGCCACAGCGCCCCGACACGCCCCGACACCCCCGACACGCCCCGACACCCCCGACACCCCCGACACCCTCCCCGACACGCCCGACACGCCCGCACACGCCCGCCACCCCGCCCCCGCCCACGCCCCGCCACGCGCCCGACACGCCCCGACACGCCCCGACACGCCCCCGACACGCCCGAACAGCGCCCCGACCACGCCCCGACACGCCCCCGACACGCCCCGACACGCCCCGACACGCCCGACACGCCCCGACACCGCCGACCGCCGAACCCGCCCCGACACGCCCCGACACGCCCCGACACGCCCCGGACACGCCCGAACACTCCCCTGACACGACCCCGACACGCCCCGACACGCACCCGCCTACCGCCCGACACGGCCCCGACACTCGCCCCGCACGCCCCGCCACGCCCTCGCCGACGCCCCGCCACGCCCCGCCCACGCCCCGCCACGCCCCGCCACGCCCCGCCACCGCCCCCGCCACGCCCCGCCACGCCCCGCCACGCCCCGCCCCCCCCCCCCCCCACGCCCCCCCTTTCCCCCCCCACTGCCCCCCTTGATGAAGCCTGCGACATGTCAGTGGCGAAACGCTGCCACCCCAGCCAACGACGCGCCGTCTCCCGGATAGCCGAGAATTCATGGATTCGAGCCGCGGAAGCTTACGTATACGCCCAGACCCTCCACGCCACGCCACGCCACAGCACGCTAAGCCCCGCCACGTCATGACACCCCATGACTCGTCTCTCCCTACTACACCATCCTAGACGTTCAGCCACGACACTCCAACAATGACACGCCCCGCCGTGCTGTACTTAGCCTCGCCGCGCCTCACCACTCCGTGATAAGTCCCGTCACTTCGCGCCACTCCACGTCACGCCACGCCATGCCTTCCCCCTCCCAGGCAATATTGCAAAGTAGCGTGTTCAGAAGAGAGAAAAGATCAAGAACACATGTTTGATGAATATTTTTATAATACTGCCCTTACTTCGGCAAAACATATCTTCTCGCATAAAATATTACTGCATACTACTGCCAATGTCTGAATCTGTCTAATTCGCTATTAAGAAGTTGTAGGCGCATGTTACTGTTAATGTTTACATTTTCCTAAGTCCGATAACCAAAATCGATAAAGTCCGAAGTAGGAACAGTTTCAAATCATACTTTGGTCTTTAGCCGGATGATGTGCACATTAAATCACACGAATTGGCTAGGATAGGTGAAGTACAAGTATATTATATATAATATCAGATATAATGTGATAAACAGGAATCAGACTATATAAGACAAGGTGAATTTCAAGCTCCAATGTGTCTGGCTTAAACCTAACCTAACCTCACTGTACATCTCAGTTGCCCTTTCGCTTCGCACTTTCAAGTTGAGGCGAAGAGCCTCCATCTAGTGGCCTTGGCAACTTACTTTAATCAAACTGGAGTCTGTAAAATGCATAAATCCCAACGAATTGTTATGCCAAGATACGTCTCTCGAACGCAGAAGACTCCTCACACTGGGAATGACACTTCATTTTGGCCATTTCCCTGAGGCTAATGCCATCAATAGTCAAATGATGTCCAACATGATCCGTTCTTTGTAATACACGCAGCTTAATCAAACCCGTTTGGTTAATCTATTTAGCCGGCTAATTCACAAATTACATATTTTGGATTTAAGCCGGACTTTATATTATATACACTATTTTTTTTGTGTGTGTGTTCCAATTAGTAATTTCGTAATGGTATGAAAGACCCTCAAACCACAAATTGAAGGACAATCAATAGAAGTCTGTTGTTTTCTTATGAAGTAAAATATGGCCAAGTTCTGATTTATTAAAAAAATATTTATTATTTATAGTTAATTTCTGTGTACATTTAATCCTAATACTGAATTACGCTAATAACTGCATGAAAACAATCTTTCAACAAACCCTTTCAATACAAGTTCTAAAACTTCACTGAAATCTATTAATTAGTTTAAAATACTATTTTTGCTGATAGTTTGTAGTTTTAACATTAGCCTCTGAGCAAATTCCAAGTCTGTTTGTTCTAGAAACTGTCAGCTTTCACAGTTTTTCCTTCCTAAAATAACGTTTTTCTTTCTCTTTATAGTGCAATCCTTATCACGTGGAAGGGAAAGCAATCATTATAGGGGATGCTGCCCACGCAATGGTACCCTTTTATGGGCAAGGTATGAACGCGGTAAGAAAATCATACACTAATATTATACATAAGAATAAGTGATAATTAAAATATTGTTAAAAATTTGATCTGTTAATCCATTATAAGAATTTGTATTTGTAGCATTTCTGCTTTAGGGTTTTGAAGACTGTCTGCTATTGGACCGACTCATGAATCATTACGGTGACGACTTACAGTCAGCCCTCGCAGAGTTTTCCCTGGTGCGAAATCCTGATGCCGAAGCGATCTGTGATCTTGCTATGTACAATTATACAGAGGTAAATACTGTAATAAATGTAAATAAAATTTGCTTTAGGGACATCACACGTCTTGGAAATTTCCATAATTTTCATGGATTATGAGACAAGTCTCCTTTCAACTGTAGTCAACAAAGTGAAATATCGGTACTTTTCTTAATAACCAGTTCCTTTAAAAAGTTTTAGACAGAGTTTTTTATTTCATTCGATACAATTCAAAACTTCTAAGTTCTACAATTTCCAAATTTCAAACTCGACGTTTCAGGAACTTTTGCCCCCCCATCTTCCGGGCAAATTAAAAATTACAATTGATCTTAATTAATAAATGTATACTCAGTTTAACTTAAATTTTCGATAATTAACATATTTAAAACAAACTTACTTTTCTTTTGTCACAAGTTTTTTGACAACACAAATTTCTCATTTCTGGTTTGTTGTGACCCACAACAAAGCTTATACATTTTTTAAATGTTTAAAAGTTGTCAAAAACGTTTCTTTAAAAAGTGTTTTTGAAATTGAAATAAGATTCACTTATTAAATAACCAGTGTTAAGAAAGAAGAGCTCACCCATTTTTTACGAACCGTAATCTTGCTGACATTCGCATGACCTGGAACCAGATCTGATGTGACTTCGAGGCGCGAGCGAAACAGGGGAAAGGGAAGTTAAATTCTATAATGAAACTTGAATTTAATTCTGATTTTGTTTCTCTTGAAATTCTTTAATTATATTTCCATACTTGTTTGTTAACGAGTTTAGTTCAGTCATTGAATTCAGTCTGCCGAATTTTAGTTTATAATGTTTCCGTAAATAAAAAAAATGACTTGCGTAAGAATATAATCACGGAAAATGCACTAGGGTCTCTACAGCCTCAACTTCCAGTTAAAAATGGCCTATAGTATCAAAAATTATCAACCGTTGATTTTCATTGATTTCTTGCGGAATATACCAAATAGAATCAAGGAAGAAAAGACACACAATAAGTTTTTTCTACTACAATTTGTACTGGAAGAGGGCATGTATTGGGTTACCCTCAACAATATGATCTCGAATATCAGTCGTAAAAACCCGTGTTCAAGGTTTTTTTCAGCTGAAACTTGAAACACTGAAACAGTACACTCACTTGTAACTTTTGCAATTTTCGACAATTTAGAGAACTGAAAATAGGACTAGCGGCATTTTGCTCTGAGAAACAAACGGACTGGCGGGCAGGACGGACGGATTGTCAGACGGACGGACGGACGGACGGACGGACGGACGGACGGACGGACGGACGGACGGAAGGATGCACGGACAGATAGATACAGACATTGCCATAAACCTATATTTAGGTATCAAGGACCCTCAAAACGCTGATTCTGGCTACATGTGTTAGAGGAAGTTATTTACCACGTAAAGGAACAAAAAAAACACTTTTTGAGAAACAGGTCACACAGACTTTTGTGCCGAAAAATCCCTTTCTTCGACGCATATTAATAACTTTATCCATACCATGTAAGTATTATGCGAGAAAGTAAAATCTCTCCTTCAATATTGTAAAAAGTGCCGTAACACTTTTTATTTTCTGTACATTTTCGAAAATTTAGAGCTTAACGAAATAGGATCTGCGCCGTTTTTAAAACAATTTTCTCCATCCCCTGCCCTAAAAAATTGAGCCATTTTTGAGATTTTTTTTATATTAGTAAGGCTTTATGTACAATACTCCCATATCAAAATATTTATTTCAAATTTGCAGGACGTCCTGATCTATCGAAGAAAATAAATTGTGGAGAAAATCCTTAAATGATTTAGACCATAGACTTATTCTGAGACGAATAGACGGACGGGACTTTTTCGATAGCAGGGACGCACAAGACCATGAGTATTTCGTACGGAAAAATTCCGGTAAAATCGTCTATTTTCGCTCGAGCATTGCATTACTTTCTCTTCATTATTAATAAATACATGGTAGGATATAAGTATGTGGTATTTACATAGAACAAAAAAAAATATTTACCAACATCCATGAAGTTCAAAAAAGACTCAGCAATGACGTTCATCTGTTAAGAAACTTATAATTTTTTTTCTAACACAGTACATGTACAACATGACTTCGTTTGGCAAACATTTTTTCATTTAACAAACATGTACATTAGTTAACAGAAGAAGTTTAAGGTTTTAAAAATAAAATTAACTGTTGAAGCTATAAGAAGTAATTTCAAATATCATTTAATAAAATTCCATGGTAATCTTCCTTAATCATGATATTTTATTAACACGAATATTTTAAGAAAATAAAGATTCAAAAGTAATAGTCTTCACATTTTTCAGATGCGAGAACTGGTGGCAAAAAAATCATACCACTTCCGTAAAAAGCTTGATGGAATGCTCTACAATTTCTTGCCAAACCTATGGGTACCGCTTTATCCCAGTGTGGCTTTTACTAATCAAGGATATCGCTGGTGTCTTGAAAATAAACAGTGGCAAGATAAGGTAAAATTATTGTCTACATATTGTGAATACACACTAATTTAAAAAACTTACAAAGTATTTATGATTGTACAGGTATTTATATTATTAAAGATATCTTTTGCAACTATTTCAATAATACATTTAATTTTTTTTCTTTCTTCAGATTCTTCAATTATTTGCCATCATGTCCATTTCAACTATAATCATTATCCTGGGTCTGACTGTTTTATGGATATGGAATTTTATTTCAAATGAAGATTTGAGTGATTTATGACAAATTATTTCTGAAGTAGAGAAGTGCTCTTATGTCATTTAATTACTGGTTCATAAAAAGAATCACTTTCTTATGAAATACCAAAATATTTCTAATTGTTTGATATAATCATCATTTATCAATATTGACTTATTTGAGGGGAATTCTTTTGCCCCAAGATAATCTTAACACTTCCAATTAAGTAATTGAAGCAAAAAAATTATGAGTGATAATTTACCCCTACATTTCAAAATTAATCTTAAAAAAATATTGCAAATGAAATGATCACAACTTTTTTACTGACACCAGATCTCCAACTCCTTACTAAATTTTATTTTTGTACTAAGATTGCTAATGTGTTCATAATGAAGCAACTGTACCCTATCAACACTGCCTTATAATTAAGTTGACTTACACATTGTACAAATTTTATAAAATAAACAATTAAGCCTCAAATTAATTCAATCTCAACAATTAAGCCTCAAATTAATTCAA